GAAGGCCAACATCCGCCCCGCCCCGCCCCATTGACATCCCTATTGGTGATGCACGTGCACCAGTGTGCGCCTACATAGTTCCCTCACTAATTGCTATATGGTCTTGAGGTGGATCTTCCTTGGTCGTATAAAGTGGACAATTGCGGGTGCAACCCAAACCCGTTTTTAAAAAGCTGAGCATAGGAGAGAGAACACAAGGTGCTTCAATGGAGGAGGGATTAAAAATTAGAAAAGGGAAATAGAGCCTAGTAGAGAGAAAATCAGTGTATAATTTTTTTTTTGATGTGAGAATTTGAAATGACAATATTTGAGATGAAATTTGTAATTCATTGAGCTGGACTTAATTTTTTAGATGCTTGAATTTGCATGGATTTAGCCCAAATATAAATCCAAATTATTGCACTATCCAAACAAGTTATTTGATCTGAATTAGAATTTCAAATGAAATTCACATTTCCAAACGGCCATTAGGCTACTTGTTCTTGATTAACCCAATAAAAATTTATCAACTTGTCAAATCCCACGTTATATATTCGAATTCAACATTTTCTCAAACTCCATTTAATTTATCTGATAATCAGGCCCGTAGCAAGGGCAGGGTAGGTGGGGGCGTCTGTCTTGGGTCCATTGTTAGGAAGCCAAATTTTAGTTAGCCAAAGCCCCTAAAAATACAAAGTTATAAAGAGACTAAAGACTAAAATATCAATTTTCATCAAGATATGGAGTATATATCAAACATTTCTTTTTCTCATTGGTTTTATTCACCCTTAATTTTCGCACAAACTATAATATTCAGTTTTCAAAACTGAATTTATTCATACCTATAATAATCATGCAACAAATCCCTATATCTCACTTTCTTTCTCTCTTTCCAAATTCTGACCATATTCATTTTTTATTCTTTTCATATACATCTCTATTCCCTAATTATATCAATTGAAGATGAAAATTAGAGTAAACAGTGATATGTCGTCTCAATTTTCTACAAGAAAGCTTAAATTATTCTCCTTTAAAGTTCATAATTCTCCAGTATAATTTTACTTCTTACAATTATTTAATTTTCTTAATTTCTTGATTTGTTTGATTGGTTTCATTTGTTTATCTAAATTTGGGTGAAAAGTTTCTAGTCTTCTGTCTTCACTCTTTCATAGTTTCATTGAATCGCTTTCTATTATTGTAAGGTTTATGCCTTTTTTTTTTCTTCATTTTAAAATTTTACACATAAATTTTACAGTACCTTTTTTTTTCTCATTAAGATAAACTATGTTATGATTGTTGTCAATTTGAATTTGAATTTTTTTTTTTTTTTGAGGGGAATTTGAATTTGAATTTAGATAAAAATAAAGTAACAAAAAATTCCCTAAATTAATAAACAGATTGAATATTTGAATGCAATTGATGCACCTGTGTAAAGATAGGATTTTGGCGACAAAAAATGTTAACAAATCAAGAGCGTTATTTTTTATGATTTAACTTTTAAATTATACAAGTATATTAGATGGAGTGAGCAATAGTAAACAAATATTTTTAGTTTTTTTCCTTTTCATATTCTTCACGGCTAAATATATATGAATGAGAAACAATTTTAATTCATTTTTGAGACCTTTGTTATTTTTGTCTTTTTTTTTCCTATAATTTGACGTATGGAGTTAAAATTGAAGCGGTTAATCTTTTGTTTTGCATACCCTACTACGATTATAAACTAATAGGGCCACAAATTATATGTTTGCCCTATAACACCAAAATGTCAGAAATGGGCCTGGCGATAATTAACATCTACGTCATATTTTTTAAAGAAGTTTTACTCATCAATGAGCATTTATTTGTCTCAAATTACTCTTTAAACTTTGGTGAGAAATTATTGAGCAAATACGGATTATTAGATGGACTTAAAATATTATGTCAATTTCAAACTCTCTTATATTTCAACAAAAAACTATGTAATAATAACAAAAGAGGACAAATACTATTGGTGATATAGAAGTATTAACCTTACGCATCGTTGTCTAGGCTGTGTTTATGGTGTAGTGAGATGGCTTAAGTCTTAAATTAACAAAGATTAAAACCGACCTTCCAATTATTTATACTAAGAAGTGCATCATCACAACTAAAGTCTCACCTAACTCAAACGTTACTAATCGTTTTTATAAACATGAAGATAAGGTTGGATTAGATCACTAATCATTATAATAATTAACAATTCAGATAAACTATATACATATATAATCACAAATTTAAGATTAATTAAATAAGAGCATAAACTTCGGAGTGTCAACAATTGTTACATGTACATGTTTTTAGAACTTCCAGAGTGTTCTTTGTTGCAGCTAATACTGTTTGATTTACTAATTAATTATTATATAATTTTAAGATTATGATATAATTAATTATTGTGAAATGACATGTCATCATCGCAATGTAACCACATAAATTAGGAAGAGGAAAAAAAAAAACAAAAAAAAAAAAACACCAGCATCCAGCTCATTACAATATCGCTTTTGTGCTAAGGTTCTCACTTTTCCACTCAACTACTACTACTTTATGATTTTAATGTCTATAGGTTGTTTCATCATTCTTGAGGCTATGAATTGAATATAATTTATAAAAATGAAGATAACTATGATTTTCAGCCACATATTCTATATAGAATTTAGAAATAATTTTCAAAAAAAACACAAGATAATTAGCTTAAGACCTTTATATATTCTCCGTATTATATGTGCATAAATTTTTGTACTATGTTCTCTTTACCTTAATTATCAATACAATTAACTTTGCTAGGTTAGTTTATTGTACTTAGCTTCCAAATTGAATAATTCAAACCTCAGCTCAACCTTCTCTAAGCAAGAGAAGATTTAGATCTTATGAGACTTTTGGCTTCTTTGACTTCTGAGATATGTCATTAAGATGCTATACAATCTCTTTAAAACGAAGTTACATTAAAAATGTAGTTTGACAATAATAATGACAACATTGTTCAATTAAAATAATTAGTTTCAGTATTATCATTTCATATTTATTTTTTTTATATGTTTTTTTTTATTTAGATTAAATTTCCCCTCATAACTATTTTGATTGAGTTAAAAATAATATTGATATCATCTTGAACTTATGTTTATTATAAGTTATGTGAAACATTTTTACAAAGTTCATTTATAACTTTTTTCCACTATAAAATATTAATATTCCAATTTAAAGGACATACAAAAACGTTACACTAAAGTATAGCTGCTTTAATTAGTAAACAATTTAAGGTTTTCTTAGCTTAATATATATGTATACATGTAGGATGATATTATTCTTTATTTTACTAACTATTTAAATTAGTACTGCTTACTTATGAACTGAATTAAAAAGTATGACGATAAGATTTTGCCACCCTACTTTAGGTTGTGGCATAGCATGATTGTAACAAATTATTCCTTACTTTATAAAACATTAATTATTCGATGTGATTGATAATTCTAGTTGTTAAACTTGTCATTATCTAAGTTTCTCGTATAATTATTTATTTAGGGCTTGTGATCCTTAGGGCCGAAGGACTAGTGCGCCCTTACAAATGAGGGCCTCCTTAGGCTCCCATCCTTAATATATTTAATTAGCTCAAAGAAACTTTTGATTAATTTTAACAAGAAACGCAACATTAGGCGATTTTGATAAATATTTTATGTAAGATTTTATTACTATCTATTTTCTCGATTAATATTACTAGCTATGTACCTCAACCAAATAATGGCACCCAATATATCAGTAGATGTAAGGGCGAAACAAGGACTTGTATCTCCGGTCAAAATAGTAAAAATTATTCAAAAAAAAAAAAAATAGAAGTTTGGTAATTCTATTGCTTATTTCTCATTTATTATTAGCAATTGTACTTCTGACATCTTTATTAAATTTGTACTGTTTTTTTTGAAAGAAAAAAAGAATTGTACTTCTGACATAATAGACATGTAATCCAAAAAACCTTGGAGATTATTTGGGGAAATTTCTTTTTCCATATTTAGCAAAAATTCCATTTAACTTCTAATTTTTGATCAATTTTTTTTTTTTTTTTTTGTATACGTGCCACATGGAACCCAACATTACAAAACATTCAATTAGTCATGACACTTTTACTATCAATGACAACCATTGCATCAAAAATAAAAAATAAAAAACAAATTGACAATCAAACTTGTCATAAGTAGGAACTTGATGAACTTGAGACCAACAGAAAATATATGGGAAGTATAAGCTTTACTCTCTTTCCTCACCGAATATCAAGTATATACAAGTTATTTGTAACCACCATTCCAAAAAAAAAAAAAAAAAAAAAAAAAAAAAAAAAAAAAAAAAAAAAAATTATTTGTAGCCATAAAGTTTGTTATATAGCTAACGAATGAAACTAAAGGATGTAAATCCTTGTCATTTGTCATTCTCTATGATTAACAGAAGCGTTTAAGGGAAATTTTTAGATAGACGGCGGAATGAAGGGTAAACGAACAAGTTACTTTAACATGCAGTGAACAACTTATGAATAGCTTGGACAATATATATAATATACTCCGTATAATCGGCCAAAGTTCATTCTTCGGTTAAATAAACAAATACAAATAAGTTTTATATATCATCACTCTCATTTTAAATGATTGAACAAATAGAGGATTTCAAATGATAATATTCGGCTCGCTTGATTTAAATTTGTTAAATTGTTAGTGAATGAAAAGCTTTACTACACTCGGCTGGCTCAAATCGATTGCAATCCTACTACTAATGTGATAATAATGCATGCATGTTGACATAAAAGCCTCATGGCCTTAAACTTTTATACACAAATTTGTTTTCTTATAAGTGGGACAATTATAGAAAACCTTATTCTTTTTTCTTTTTTAAAGTGGAAAATTGATGAGGAATATTCCAATAAAAAAAATTATGACGAATATATGAAAATGACATGAAAGTAGACAATACTAAACAAATAACAAGGATAATGTACTATATTAATATGTGCTATTATCACATAACAAAGCTCCACAATAAACTTAATTATCATATTAAAAGGAAAAAAAAAAGAAGTTTACAACATACAATGGTTTTAAAAAAAACCAAGAAAAGAAAGGAAACAAACAGAGAGAAGCAACCAAACACACCCTTAATAATTATTGCCCATTGTTGACCCCATTTGTTGTTTATCTACAATTTGTGTGGTCTTTTCTCTCTCCATCCTTTTCAAACCCCATTAATAATTAAAAAAAAAAAAAAAAAAAAACCCACAAATTTAAATAGAAAATGATGTTTCATTTAATTTAAGCATTGCTCCTGAATGATCCAAGAGCCTTGATTGCTGCTGCTCTTAGGATGTATTGGTGGTAGAATGCTGCTACTGCTGCTCCTATGAATGGTCCCACCCAGAATATCCACTGTAATTTAACACAATTCACAAATAAAATTAATTAGTTTGACTGTGGAAAGTAAATGTTACAACTAATAAAGACCAGAGGAAGTATAATGTAACTACGTACGTGCTCGTTCCATGATTTCTCTTGGTTGTAGATCACGGCAGCTCCAAAACTTCTAGCGGGGTTGATTCCGGTACCGGTGATTGGGATAGTGGCCAAGTGAACCATGAATACTGCGAAACCGATGGGAAGTGGTGCCAACACCTTCACATAGGAACAACAAAAAATATGTTAGGTTTTTATATTTTTCATATGTCCATTCACTACAAGAAATAGTCACATTTGTGACCTAATTTTTCACCCACCGGTTCATAAAATTAATATGCTACACGTATTATTTTAAAAATGTAACAACTTTATCCGAACATTTAAAAATTGTGTAATATTACAGATAAATTAAAGTAAACTTACGGGAACATGGGAGTCCCTAGCGTTTCTCTTAGGGTCAGTAGCGGCGAACACCGTGTAGACAAGAACGAAGGTACCAATGATCTCAGCACCAAGACCGGTACCCTTGTTGTATCCAGCAGACATCACGTTAACACCACCGCCGTATCTAACATAGAAAGCCTTTTGGAAGCCTTTAACTAGCCCAACACCACAGATAGCACCAAGACATTGAGAAATCATGTAGAAAACTGCCCTTGGTAGAGACACCTTCCTTGCAATGAATAGCCCAAAGGTCACTGCTGGGTTGATGTGTCCTCCTGCATATCACACCACCAAACAAAGTTAGTTACCAACTCGTCGTAACAAAAATTAATAAGAACAGGGACTGTCTAAAGACCAACTCAATCAAAAGTTTAAGCAGATAGTTGAAGTATTATCTAGTTGTATTAATATTACTTACCAGAGATACCGGCGGTGCAGTAAACAAGGATAAAGATCATGCCACCAAAAGCCCAAGCGATACCAAGGATTCCAACACCACCACAATCCTCACCACCAGCGGCGGGATCAGTCTGGCTTTTGTACCCAATCACAGTAAGGATAGTAATATACAAGAAAAGAAGAGTAGCAACAAACTCAGCTATGCAAGCCCTGTAAAATGACCACTTAGTGAGCTCCTCCATATCAATGAGTGGAGTAGGGGGAGGGTCATGGTAGTCCTTTGCTGAGAACTCAGGCTGGTTCGGCTCGGCCACGGTTTCGACATCCTTTGTCATGGCGTCGTACCTAGAGGGAGAGTGGTAATTAGAGAGAAAGAGAGGAGGTTGAGAGTGTATGTTGTTTGTGAAGATAAGAGTGATTATTAGGAGGGGTATTTATGCAAGGTTAAGGGGTATGTTAATTAATTATGTAAGAGTGTATTATTTTAGTGTAATGTTTGGAGCATAATTGTGATTAATGAGTTGGATAATTTTAGTAATATTTAGGGCTGTGGGATGGCTTAATTATTAGCCGTCCAAATGACATTTGATTTTGGTTGTCTTAGTTTGCATTGGTCCCACCATTTCCCATTTTTCCAACGGCTCCCTCGTTCTTTTCTCTAAATTCACTAATGTAGTATTATCCTTTTTGTCTAGTTTTATTTTATTAATTTTCAACTTTATTATGTTTGGAAATTATATTCTTCATTTTCTAGAAAATGTTTTCGACCGTTTTTCCGTATGTAAAGTTTTCCTCTTTTATGGTATTTTTCGATTACTTAGATATTTTCGTGGTTGTCTTTAAGGTTTATACGGAAAAGTTCATCTCTAATACCTTCAACAAGCTACCATTTTGGATGTGATGAAAAAAATTCTAGAGGCTACAAGAGATGTAGGGTCAACTTAGAGAATCATTCATTGTAAGGGTATCAATTGCAAAAGATGGAACTAGATAATTAAACTAAAGCAACTATAAATTGAATGGTAGTTACATTGATCAAACATTCATTATTATAAATCATTTTGTTTGTCCATTTATCGGTGATTGGTCTTTAATCAATCAAGAATGTTCATGGATTAATATTGTCATGTCTGATATCCCTTCTTTTTCATACTTCATCTTTTCTTAAATGTTTTTTAAATTTTGATTGTGCATTTTGCTAATGCAAAACTTTGACCATAAATATCGTAATTGCTTATTAGTGAAAAATATAACATTGAATTTTAATAAGCTTTCATTAAGACTAATTAAGTAAGACTCGACATGACTATGTTACGTCTTATATATTAAACATAATTTAGAAGATTCTCTCATCTTATAAATAGTGTCAAGATTACAATGAGAAGAACAAAAAGAGATGGAAGAAGTAGTAAATTGAACACCAACTACTCCCTTATGATTGAGACATTTAATAATAGGTAAAACGAGGCATATTCGTAATTTTTTTTACCTATTTTGAGTTCGATTTAGGCCCATAGAGGGCCAAAATGACTCCTAAAACCTTAACTGAACTATTATTAGCAAGCAAAAAATAAAAAAAAATAAATAACGACATGCAAATCTAGACATTTCTTGACACGCATACTAGACATTTTCGTGTTTTTTTTTGCTAATTTCGAGGTCAATCTGGATCTATAAGGGCTAAAATGACCCCAAAAACCTTAATTGAACAATTTTCGACACGCAAACCAAGACATTAGATGTTCAAAAGGGGTATTATAGTCTTAATCTCCTAATTAGTTAACTTAATTTGCTAGTTATTAACAGTATTAGTCATGATTGAGAAAAAGACTAGACCACATGTGTACCAATGGGAAGACGTTAAAAGTTTATCGATGAAAAAGTCAATATCAAAGGTGTACCAATACTAATTTTCCCTTTTTTTTTAAACCAATGAAACATAAAACTTTTTTACTTTTTATTTTTTATTTTTGAAAGTAAAGGAAACATAAAACTTTTTTTTTTTAATTTTATTTTTTTGAAAGTAAAGGAAACATAAAACTAAACCAACATATATAACTTCCTAATTTCCTAATATATTCCTTATTCGGTAAGTCACATGAAAGTTTAGTTGGTCGATTTAGGTGTTACAAATGTTCTCTCGCTACGATCACAAACTATTTGAATATAAACTTACAAATTTTAATCAATCTGCAAACTGACATAAATACACTAATCGGTCAACGTATCTTTTAAATATGATGCCAGACACATATATACTTCATGAAAATTTTCTTCTTTAGAAATGACAGTGCTTATAATATCATTGTTTACACAACAATAATTAGCTAATTATGTAACTACAGGTAAATGTTATCTGGCCTCATTAATCAATTAAATGTTTCTCCCAAATGACACAATGATTAACTGATGATGAATTACAAATTTTGGATAACCTTATTTGATGTGCTTGCCTTCTTGGCCAAGCCTTGCAAGTTGCAACACTAAAATACATTACTGTAATTTTAAGCGATCAATTAATTATTTACTGTAAAAAAAAAAAAAAAAAAAAAGGTGATCAGTTAATTAGCTATCTCTTCTCGTGTTTTTTTTTTTTTTTTTTTAAGGTGAAACCAAACAAATAACAAATTACACGATACTAGTAGAGCGAATTAAATGAATTGCAGCTCCCCCTACAATTTGGTGAGCCCTGTGTACTCACTGTCTATCTACTTTGTAAATAGTGTACTGGTGAAAGGTTGATTCTAGGAGCTGAATCTTCCTTAAAAGCCATAGTAAATTGATTTCACCACGTCCATCACCTCTTAGTCAGGTAACAAGAGTAAAAGAATCCGAAAACACAATTAGCGAGTGGATATTAGATTTGAAGCCTACTGCAATTCATATAGGCAGGCTAGAGTTGGGGTATTTTTTAACGAGAAGGTATTGGATGCGGACTGCCGCATACATAATTACGTGCGGCAGGCTTGATTGATATATTTCATTTGTTGGCTGATATGTTTCATGTGTTGGCTGATATGTTTCATTTGTTGGCTGATATGATTTTTGTGTTGGCTAATATATTCCTTTTGTTGGCTGATATGTTTTTTTTTTTTTATTTTTTTATTTATTTTTATTTTTTATGTTCCTTTTGTTGGCGGCTATAAGATATCAGTTGGCTGATATGTTTCTTTAGTTGTCTAATATCTTTATTTTGTTGCCTGATATGTATATTTTAATTGTTGGCATATATGTTTCATTGTGTTGGCTGATGTGTTTATTTTGTTGTCTTATCTGTTGCTTTTGTTTACTAATTTCATCTTGTTGTTAGCTGATATGCTTCATTTGTTGGTTGATATGTTCCTTCTGTTGGCTGATATGTATCTTTTGTTGGATAATATGTCCCTTTAGGTGGCTGATATGTTTCATTTGTTGGTTGATATAATTCTTATGTTGACTGATACATTTTTGATAAGTCGTGTTTTGTGCATATTTGTTAGCTTATTTTTTTGTTGGTTTTATTAGCTTAGTCGAGTGTTTTAATCTATTTTGGTGTAATTTGGTTTAGTTTCGATGATTCGATGCTTTTATGGGTAGTTTCGTTGTTTTTGATGTATTTCAGGATTAAAGGAGCTAATTTGGATATTTTACGAAGTCACGAAGCTAAACCGAGGCCCACGAACCTTCACGAGGCTTGTTGATTGAAGAACGAGCTATTTAGGGACTTTTGGAGTGAGGCACGTCCGTGCCTAGCAGAGGCACGTCCTTGCCTCCAAGTCAGTTTACACAGCTATGAGCTTCGACATTAGGCACGTCCGTGCCCAAAACTGCAGAATTACACTCGTCAAGAGGCACGTCCGTGCCTGGAAGTCAGAAGACAAGGTTTTGAGCACTCGATCTGAGGCATGTCCATGCCTCTTGTAGGCACGTCCGTGCCTCCTGGAAGGATTATGCGCCAAGAAATTGAATTATCTTCTTATCTTTCTAGGGCTATAAATACACTAAGTATTGTTTTATTTGATCATTAAGTTTTTATTAGTCTCTAGTTTTACATTGTTAAAAACCTAGTTCTCTCCATTAATTTGCTTTGCTTTTGTTATTCAAGATTCAAGATTTCTACTTTCCGTTTTCCATTCAATTCAAGTTTCGGTATTTTCTTTTCATCTTTAATTTTCTTAATTATGTTTTCCTTAATTATTTTTTGTTATTGTTTATTTCATTATGAGTGAGTAGTTTCTTTATTCCAAGATCTAGGGTTGCCCAATTATGATTGATGCATGAATTAATTCTTTAAATTCTCTATTAACTTTTGTAATTGCTTATGCTAAATTGATTGTAATTATGCCAATACTAGATTAGAGATAATTAGTATTGTTATTATTCCATTGTTTCTATCACAATGAGACTTGGGTAAACGGAATTGGGTAGATCAATTTAGGGTTTGAGATTCAACATGAGAAAAGTTGGGTTGATAATTGGGAAGTTAGAGTAATGTGTTTAATGTCTCTAATTTGCATGATACCATGAGAATAGGCTTGATTGTATGTTAGGGAAGCCATTGATACTCGAGAGAGGTCTTTGGTATTGATTAGGGTTTACTTTTCCCCATTCGATTGGAATCGTATGTTAGGGGTAGAAATATAATTGCATCGATCGTAATTGTGGTGATACTTGATCTTGGATGTTTTAGTTATTTGATTTATCATACTCGTTCAATTTGTTCTAGTTTTCCATACTTTAGTTTCAGATTATTCCACCATTGTTGATCCTTGCTTAGTAATAACTTGAGTCTAGATAATTCAGGTGAACCATAGTCTCTGTGGGATCGACCCTGACTTGCCCTACTACATAGTTATAAGGATTAGTTAGGTTATTTTTGCTAGGTGTGCGACCTCCTATAAATTTTTATTAATGTATGATATGTCCCTAGCAAATGTTGACTGATATCAAATATCAATTGGTTGATATGTTCATTTTAATGGCTGATATGCATCAATTGTTGGCTAATATGATTAACAACATTCAATATATTTTTATTTCCTTCTCTTTCCTCTTTCCCCCTCTTCCTCTCTTTCTTTATTTCTCTCTCTTTCAAATGAATAATGTATCAGCCAACAACCCAAAATGCTCAAACTCGCGCACTCCCTCACTCTTCACCACCCCCACCACCCACTTCGCCACCATTCGCCGCCGTCTCCTCCGCCGCATTTCCCTCCCGACCACCACCACCCGCGCCACCTTCCCGACCTAATTCACTAACCCAATACAACAAACCACACCAACAACTGCACAAACCACCGCGTCACCCCACAACAACAAACACCAACAAATCAGCCCACATCGTCCCGCATTTCCCACTCCTTCTCTTCCCTTCTCTTTCTCTCTCCTCTACTCTCCTCCTTTTTACTCTACTCCATTACCAGATCAAAATCAAAATCAAAATATTCACATCACCCTTCGTATAATACACATCAACACAAACTGACTAGGAATTGCATAAAATTCACATCAATTGCATAAAATCAGAAATTCACATCAACACAAATTGACTAGCAAGAACAACATTGGGAGCAACATATGCATCAACAGCGAACTTAGGGTTCCATTGACCCAAAAAAATTGATAATCCCTGTCCTCTGTAATCCCATTTCACTCAATCCGGTGAATCCACTATCTCTCGCTTCGTCGGCGGCGGGAATTGCTGGTGGGGTTGCATGGCGGCGGCGGGGGAGGTGAGAGAGCGAAGAGGGTGAATCGCAGGATAGAGAAAGAGAAAGAAAGAGAAGAAGGAGAGAGAAAGATAAGGGATGAGAGTAAGAGTGTCGCACAAGCCGCACCAAATAGTTTGTGTTTTGTCAATATAACGAAAAGTACATTATAAATTTGAGCAATGTATTTTGCTATTAATTAAATACTCTTTATGTTTCCTTTTGTAGTTTCTATTCAACTTTTTACGATCTTCAAGGCTTACATTTGATTATTTATATATTTAATTACTCTTTCCGTCTTAAAATAAGTGGGATGTAGACTTTTTTCACTGTTTATATATTAGTTTTAACCATAATTTTTTATTAACATAATAAAAACATATTTTATCATAAAATATGTTGTTAGATAAGTATTAATATAAAGTTTCATAATAAAATTTTTAAAATAATTTCCATTAATATTTACTGATATAAAATTAAAGTCAAACTGTTGTATCGACATGTATGCAAAGGTTACTGTTTCTGTTATTTTGGGATAGGAGGAGTATGTATTAACAAAATTTACAAAATTATGATATTATGAAGTTACACATTGAGTAACAAGATAAGAAAAAAAAGGAAGCAATAGTATACTCTCCTTACAAGAGGATTCCTAATGCGTTGTTTAATGTTTTAACTCACTACATAGTATTTCATTATTTTTTCTCTCTCATACTTATATTTAATCAATGTAGGTTCTTGAAAAATTAACAATTAAAAACAACGATAAATGGGAATTTTGATACGAGAGCGATGCATGAAAAGTAGTGGGTTATGAAACAGCCTGTATTGAGAGGAACATATCACATATATGTTGCATATGATTAAATTGGACATAATGGACCACATCCTTCGTTTTATCATCCAATTTGGTCGATTTTGCTTTAGATATCCGGCCACCTATTTCTCCTCTTCAACTATAAACATCACTTATACGAGGACAATTCTAGCATGTTTGTAAAAGTTGTCTGCTTCCTTCATAATTGGCTAATTGCAATGCCGTTATCTCACTTTTGTTAAGGTCATTTTTTCTATTATTCATAATTATTTTTTGTCAATATAATGTTCCTAGCTATTTCAAAAATAAAGTCGAGTAATTAGTATATATATATGACACAAACTATCTTGTTTTTATGTTAGGTACAAATGTGCCAATTAATTACAAGTGCCTTTGTGAGGGTATGCAAAATAGGTCACTAACAAGGCCTCTAAAATATAATAGGTTCAGAATAGACACTTAATTATATGAATGAGGAAAGCAATGAAATACTTTGTAATAGGCAAAATGTAATGAACAATATGTGCGTTATGCCTTAGCTTATACTTTACTAAATGTACCTACTCGATGCCCGACTTTACATGCAAAATCAATTTTTTTTAATCATGAATCCCGAAAGATATTTTACAAATATCGCCTTCGAATCTCCGACTAACACCTGCAAATAAAATTTATTTTACAAATTTACCCTTAAATAAAAATAAAAAAATTTACCCCCAAAACACAATTTACCTCCCAAAACCCTCACTCCCTCTTCTCCCTCTTAAAAACAATTCTCTCTCTACACCAACACCACCACCACATACTTTTACCACCCACCACTACCACCACCTCCTCTTAACCACCCACCACCAACTCCTCTTTTAACCACCTACCACCACGTCCTTTTACCACCCACCACCACGTCCCACCCACCATCACGTCCCGCCCACCACCACTACCACCACCACGCCCCACCCACCACCACGTCTCAATCTACAAAGTAAGTTGCGAAAATGACGAGGAAGGACAAGAGAAAGGTCGTCGTTGAAGGAGTCGCCAGAGACAAGGTCAGTTTATTTATTTTATTTTTTCTGGAATTGGCGGAAACGCCCAATTTTTTCGCCACATCAGGGCTGAAACGCCTAGAATTTTCGATCACCCATACGGTTATTTGAAAATTCTAGGCGTTTCAGCCTAGATCTGACGAAAAAATTAGGCATTTCTGCTCCTTTTTTAAAAAAAAATAAATAAAATTTCGTATAAATTTCATCTTCGATTTCATCTAGGCTGATTTCGTATGAAGAACTCCTAGCCGAATTTAATGTGGGGTTTTTGCTGTATTAATTTAGGCTACTCTAAATGTTTATTATTGTTGTTGTTGCTGTTGTTGTTATTTATTATTGTTGTTGTTGCTTTTTATTATTGCTGTTGTTGTTGTTTATTATTGCTGTTGTTGTTGTTGTTGTTTATTATTGTTGTTGTTGCATTTTATTATTGTTGTTGTTGTTGTTTATTATTGTTGTTGTTGCTTTTTATTATTGTTGTTGTTGTTGTTTATTATTGTTGCAGTGTTTGTGTAAAAACTCTGCAATTCTGATGTACTAGGCTACAGCTAGTGTATTTTTTATTGAGGCTCAGGAGTCAGAAATTTGGAAGAAGTCTTACACGTTTTTCCAGTAGCTCAGGAGTCAGAAATTTGGAAAGTGTTTGCTGTTTCTTTGCTACTTGGAGATGTTGGAGTAGTGACATTGTGTCCTTATGGAACGATATAGAGTACGAGTATTATTGAGTATTGATTTTAGTTGTCCTTTGGTTGAATATAAATCTTCTAATACGGAGTAACATATGTGTCTAATGCTATAATCAAATATTACGAGTAAAAATAAAAGTAGTAGTACTCCTTTGGTTTTTGTAAGTGTCATATTTACCAAATATGATTGTCATTTTAAGTGTCATATTTTTGGCAGATAACTACATGTAAATATGGAGTATTATACTATGTATTCATCATTCCCTCTTCTCTCGTTGTCCCATTCAAATCCACTACTATTTTATTATTACAAAGTATTATTTATATCTTTTTCTTACATCACTTACTTTTTAATAAAATATTAACGGCTCGATTTTATTATTTTGTAATTTTTTAATGCTCCAGTTACTTACTTCTTTACATTTATGCAATTCCACATACAAATATCTATATCTCATGATTTTCAAGTCACCAAAGCTTTATAACTAATCACTCTAAATTTTACTACATAATTTACTGTACCAAAACTTTATAATTAATCACTCTACATTTACTCCTTATTTTATTGTTGTTATAAGCATCATTTAGACATTAGGTCACATTACATATTTCATTAATTGGTAACTTCCCAATTTAGATATTCAAGGGATAGTTAGAAGACTATTTAATAATGTTTTTAATTAGGGGGACATTTAAAGTGTAAAAAGATAGAGTTATTATTGTTGTTGTTGTTTATTATTGTTTAATACTCGTAATGATTATATTAAAATGATACATAAAACACATTATAGGTTTTCTTTTGTTTGCATCACCTATTTTGTTTTTATTATTAATATTATAATTTTTTTTAAATTTAGAATGTAGTTGAGGGTTCTGGTCCACAACATGCTAGATCACGCGGTATTAATGCGTCAATTAGGAGAGATAGGGGGATTAGTATACGGGAAGATAGTTCGGAGCGCGATAGGGTAGTGGATGATTATGGGACTCCGGGTTCGGGTTCGAGTTCGAGGTACGAGGATGATGGACCTGAGGATGATGTAGATGAGGGTGAGGCTAATGTTAAGGAGCAGCCGCCTGTCGTGACGAGAGGTCCTGATGGGAGATTTACGAGTTCCCGACTACCACGATCTGCAGCGACTTGGCTTGTTCAGGGGCCGATGGACGGTGGGCCCGAGGATGGGAGCGTTATTCCTAGTTTCGAGGCCCATGTTGCTCGGTATATTTGGGATGGGGAAGATCGACGGTTTTTGCGTTGTCATACTAGAGCTGGTGTGTGTAGAGACTTGACTGACTGGTTAGAGCGATTTATGGCTGCCACTACTACGCGGATACGACAGACTGGGTTGTCGCACCTGCCTAGCATTATGCACGAACACATTCCACCTACCTTTTGGTGAGAGGACCATCATATTGCACGACGTACACCACATACTTGGTATTCGGGTTAATGGGGATATGGTTGTTGGTGTCCTAGTGACCAGTATAGGAAATTGGTAGGTGGGTTGTTACTGTTGACTCAAGAGAAGCAACAGGTCAAGACTCAGAATGCCATCTACAGGAACGGTGGCGTCCATACTGACCAGATTATTTCTAGGTGTCGTAGTGAGGAGCAGCTGGAGGCGGTTCAAGCCATTGGTTACATTTGGGTCCTATTGGGTAACACGCTCTTTACTGAACAGAACGGTACCCGTACTCACCCTTCTTTTCTTAGTGACTTGTGTATCGAGAATAACCTGAAGAGGTTGACGAGATACTCCTGGGGTTCAGCCACACTAGCGTACTTGTATCGTCAGCTCGGGCATGCCACCCAAAATGGATGTGATTCTATCGCGGGTTGTCTGACTCTTCTACAGGCTTAGATATACGAGTACTTTCCATGTTTTTGGCCTCACCAGGGTGTGTTGACACGGGACATCCCTCATGCTCGTGCTGGGTTATGAGATGTTGGTATGATGCGGAAGCATCAACAGCGTCTCGTGTCCTTTCATACTCGACTTGACCACCTGGCTAACTATAAGGTATAAATAGATACGTAATTACTATTTGTCTTATATTGATTTTATTTACAGTTGATTTACAGGTATAACTAATTTGCAGGTATGTTGGTTGCCATACGGTGCTTTTCCCGCACAACAGGTGCCTAGGACTATGTTTACTGGATGTATTCGCTATCGAGGCATCATAGAACCATATATGCCCGATCGAGTTGTTCAACAGTTGGAGTTTATACAGGAGATTCCCGGTGACATGATTAAGCCTGATGATGCTCATAGACCACTTAGTGTGAAGTCTTATAGGGTCAGTTTTCAGCTCTGATGACCACTCTCATGTGGGATAGATTTGTCCCCGGTGCTGTGTTCAGTATTCTGCTTGGTGGATATACTAGAGTTCCACGTGGAGGACATACTTTTGCCCCTAACTACCTACCATGGTTTGGGAGAGTTAGCAATCCTATCGTCACTCCTAATGTTGAGGATGATGTCAGTCTTCCTGAGAGGACCAACGTTGATTACGTAAGTTTTTTGTTAGTTTTTTTTTTATTTAATTATTTTTTCCCTATTATTTCTATTAATACACAATTATAATGGTTTGTGCAGTGGGTAGGGCGATTCATGGTTACAGCGCAGCGATCACATAGTGAGTACCCTACGCTATCAAGGGACACCAAAGTAATGTTGGAGCAGGTGATTGATGATTGGAATACAATAAATGGACTTAGAGATTAGTTGTAATATGTATTCTAGCTTTGCCTTTGTTGTTTTATTAGACTATGTTTTGGATGTTGTTAGTGGACATTTATGTTTTATCACTTTTGTTGAGAATTATCAAGTTGACATTTATATATTATTATTTTATTTTCTAATTATGTAGTACTTACTTAGTAAATTTTAAAAGAAATCATGTTTATTAATAAAGTTATATAAAATTTAATAAAAATCCATAACAGCACTCAACAGTACTCAAGAGCTAACTAATGTCTGCCACAATTGAAGCCTTCTCTCGTACCTTGCCTCCCATCCGTGTACACTTGCCTGTCGAGCGTTAAACCACATTGGTGAAATTGGAGGAAGTGGGTGGTCTTGATCCATATGCAAACGAATGAAATGCGATCCACCAACAGTTCCAATCACGAACTCTGCACTAGGCCTGTCTAAGCGTCCACGATTGTTCAACGGTAAAACAGTGGTAGATGGATAGTAGCACGATGGTTTATTTCCTACTCCATAACAAATCACTACCACTACTAGAAAACACCTTATTTACGACGGAAAATTCCGTCGGTACACCCTATAAATCCGTCGGAAAGGGCTGTTTTCGACGGCATTCCGTCAGAACACGTTGTCGGAGATCACTTTGTCGGGAAAACTGCCATTTTCGTTGGAAATTCCGTCGGAAAACACTATTCCGACAGAATTTTTTCGTCGAAAGAGGTTTTTCCGGTACGGGAAAGTCCGTCGGAAATTTCAGACGGAATTTAAATCCGCCGGAAAATTCTGACGGAAATTCCGTCGGAAAATTTAATAATAAAAAAAAAAAACCCACCCACCACCCCCACCACCAGCCCACCCACTGCCACCATAACCCAGATCCCCACCCACCATCCCACCCCCTACCTAACTTACCCAGATCCCCACCCACACCCAAACCACCCCTCCTGTCCAGACCACGCATCCCCACCCTCTCGCACAACCAGCCCCACCCTCGCGCACACCCACCCACACCTAGCCCCACCCTCACCAACCCACCACCCCACTAATAACCCCAGATCCACCAACCCACCACTAACCCATACAACATACCCATCACCCCACCAATAACCCTGACCTACCACTAACCCACCTAGACCCACCACCACCCTACCTAACCATAACCCACACCACAGAACCACCCTACCCCACCCTAGCTAACCCAGACGACAAAAATTAAAAAAAAAAACGAAAAGTATTGAAAAAAAAATACAGATCCGAAAAAAAATTGAAAAAAAATCGTATTTTATACAAATTAGAGCAGACGAACGAATACAAATCTGAACAAAAATTATATTCAAACCAGATCTATGCAAGTTAATAATACAAAAAATAGAATACAAATCGGAAATCTACAAAAACGAATAAAATTCCTATGACGAACGAACATGTTGTTGATGGCTCGAATTTTGGCTAGAATTGCTGAAATTTGGCTCGAGTTGCTCGGATTTTTGCTCGAAGTTACTTGAACTAGCATGAGAGGAGGGAGATCGAAATAAAAACATTGAATTTTTGTGATTTTCGTTGATGGAAAAAGAAGGGGAAAGAGAAGAGGAAAGAGAGGAAAGAGAAAGAGAAATGAGGGAGGAGAAAGAGGCGCACAGAGAAATGAGGAAGGAGAGGAGAGAGAAAGAGAAATTAGGGAGGAGAGAGGCGCATTAGGGTTTTTTAGGGTTTTTTTGTTTTTTTATAATTTTTTATTATTAGTGTTTGTTAGGGGTTTTTTTTATTATGTAAATATTTTCCTTCATGTAAATATTTTCCGACGGAAAATTCCGAGGGAATTTATTTCCGTCGAAACATTACGGTTCCGACGGAATAATCCGTCGGAAGGCCCATAAATTTCAACGGATTTTTATTCCGTAGGTAATCCGTCGTAAATTCCCGACGGAATAAAAACCCGTCGGAAATTTACGACGAAAAACATGTCCGTCGGAAATGGTCCGTCGGAAATCGGCCTGTTTTTAGTAGTGTACCACATTCCATATTGTGGCAATAGCAAACAATTCCTGTTGTGCTACCATCCAATGCTCCTGTCCACACGCATCACCATCCCATTTGATCCGGTCTATCTCCCTCTACTGTCCTGAACCAACCTATTGACCCCATATGTCGTAGTAAATCATGCTATACAACCAAGGATGAGAACCAACCTCATTTGCGATATGATGTCAAACAAATCGCCATTCCTCCTGATCTTCGTAACAAAAATCTGCTACGTAACGAAATCCGCAATTTCCATCTCCAATTACGTCCTGAACACCTACGACGTAAGGCCAAATGATGTTGGGAATCGCGTAGCTGTATCTACATTGTCGCATGTCGAACCCGGTACCTACAAAATAAAAAAAACATAATATGACATATAATTAAGTTATTACACAAAATAAATTAAAATATACGATGTATGAAAAAATTATTTAATTATATCGATAATCACCTGTATCAGATGGGGATGGTCTACTTAGATCGATTATCTCGCCCATTACGTTGAACATGCTCAAAAAACGAATGATCTCGCCTGTTCCTTCTCTCGGGAGGTCGTCCCCTTACTTGAGGGTTGACTCGAGGCTCCTGAAGGTCATCGTAGTTAGGATCCATCTCACCCTCAATCACTCGAGACATGTGCCTAAGCATCCAGGGTCGCTGGCAATAACCTGATCAACACAGGTGCGGAAATGAGCTCGATCCTCATCATTTTCATCAACTATATCAGGAATGTCGACACCCTCTCTAATGACAAGGGTCCTCCAATATGGATGAATGTCCTTCGTATACAACCCCTTCCCTACAGTAATCGAGTGATATATTTGGCACGCACAAGGTAACCCGCGGGTAGTACGTAGAGCACACCCACAATGTCGATGGACATCCGTACTCAACCCTCGCATCCTGTTCGTCTCACTAAGAAGAATAGATAGACAATAGTGGGATACCTTTCCGTTCAGCTGGTGCAAAGGCTTCTGCTTGTACTTCTGACCATGAGTTTTTCTACATGCCTCCAACCCATTACGAATGGTTATGATCTGGTTCTCAATCGAGTAGTTCACCTAAGCCCAAACTGTGTCTAAAGAGCCTGTAGAACTGTCAATCCAACATTTCAATGCCGAATGCTGGCTCTTAACCCTGCAGTTGTTAACATTACCGAAGTGCAGTACCTGGTTCGTCCAAAACATCACAAACTTCTCCTTGTGTATAAGCCAAGTGTCCACAACATAGTCAATCACTTTCGGCCATCGACCCCACTTGGTTTTCAGCTCTACTAGCTCTCTTTCATATGCCTCTTTATATGTAGCATTAATCACATGCCTCCACCTCCCATTTTTGAACTTGGCACCAATCTCCTTCTTTTTTTCAAACATGGAAGTAACCTTCGCCTCAACATCTTTGTTAATATGCCACACACACAACACGTGTCTTGTGTTTGGAAACACGCTCTTCAACGCTGCACAAAGGCCAAGCTCCCTTTCTTTCAGTAGTACCGACGGCTCTCTATGATGACCGATCAACAACCTTAAGCACTGAAGCACCCACCGATAACTTTCTTCGGACTCCGACCTCATGAATGCGTATGCAACAAGAAAGTTCTGATTTGTCGGTATAACCCCAACAATCTCAAAGAATGGCATGCCGTATCGGTTCGTCTTGTAAGTGGAATCCATACCTATCACGTACGGGTATGTGCGTAGCAAATTTGTCATGATCGGGTGTGCCATGCATGAATGCATGTTGCAACACATTGTTGGTATCAGTCATAACCCAAGTAAGGTATTTGCTCTGTCTGGCAAAATGAAGCACTTGGTGAACCACCTCTCTTCCCTCGAATCGCTCCATTCTGATATTACTTCTGCAGTTGTAGACATGCCTGATGTTTGGATGGTCTCCGGAAAACTTTTCTACAAGAGTTCTCATGATATGCCGATGTGGCACCTGTGCCTGAGTCATGTCACGTACTACCTGCTTAGCAGCAAGACTAAGACCGCTGATTTGTCGATGTCCCTCGGGATACACAACCACAGAATGATTGTGAGTGTCGTTCAAGTAACTGAGCTTCCAACCACTTACTACTCTGACATACTCAACCTTGAGTTTGAAGGGACAACTATTTGCCTTGCTTTTCGTGTCTTTGCATATCGTGTTCATCATGTCTCTTAACATGCTTAGCTCTTTTGTCCACGATCACAACTCACATATCGATACGGCCGACCACTCCAATCGATCTTGTAAGAAGCCTTCAGTAACATAAATCCGAGCGGGCGACAAACATTTTGTGCCCACAAAATAACATCCTCAAAACTCGGAAACACGGTGTATGTCTGTCAAAAAATGTCCGCTATAGTCCACACCATCACCATCCTCGGACTCAGAATCCTATATAATAACAATAACAATTGATTAGGGGATTTTGCTCCTACCAATCGGAATGCGCCACGTGGGCCAATCAGGTCCTGCCAAGTGTCCCCCAGTTGGAACTATCAGGGCTTGCCACGTGGCACGCGCTTATTCGTCCACCTTGGACCTATTATGTCATGACACGTGGCATACTCCATGCCTAATGGGGAAACCGGCCACCCAGGCCCAACTTCCGAGGGAAGCCCAATCAGCCCTAGGTTAACCTAAACCTAGGATGGGCACGTTTCCCTTGGTTATAAATACCTCCCTTAATCCTCATTAAGGGGGATTACATTAATTACACACAGAAATAACAGGCTGATCTCGCTAACAAAGCAGATTACCTACATTAAACACTCTCACCTAGAGAGATCCAATCACTTTAATTTCCGCATTAATTACTCCTTAATCAAGTACTAACTTGACCGTTGGAGGCGGAGCTCCCACCACCAGGAGTCTCCGTTGTTTTGCAGGTACAGGCGTCCGGTTCCAGTCTCGGTATTGTAACTCTCCCGCAGGACATCAGAAAACCCTGAAACATTTGGCGCCGTCTGTGGGGAGAGTACTTCTGAGATGGCATCCAAGTCTGTACCGAATCCTGAAGAGAGGCGTCCCCTAGACGACCCTCAAGTTCAGTCGGACCACGATACTGAGAGTGAATTTGAAGTTGAAGCTCACACAGCTTCAGACGGGATCCTAAGGGCCCGACGTACCCGTCATACCGAAAGGAGGGAACGGGAACATCTTCAAACAGGAAGCGAGCCAGCAGGCGCACCGCCTGTTCGGCAGCAGCCGACTGATGGATCTGCTCCCATCACAAGGAACGAACTCATGACCTTCATGAGGGACTTCAAGGGAGAAATTCAAGAGTTGATCAACAAGAAGCCGCCTGCTCTAGACAAGGAGCAGTCGGCTAAGAAACCTTCCACTTCACTGAAGAGGAAGCCAGTTCAAGGGCGAGAGGCGACTCCTCATCCTAAATCTAGGAAGCGGGAGCCGACTGCCCTTGATTTCACAAAATACCATTTTCCTACTCCAGGAAATAGGAAACCTGTTCGTCATA